TAATCATCCTAAAGCACTTAAAAGAAGACGATATTAAACTGTGAAGAAGTGTTATTATATTTTGATTGTTTTATCAGTAGGTGTGACAAATACAACGACATTGTATGTTTAAAAAGTTATTCTTCTGATTTCAGTGTTGCTTTATTGTCTGGTTTTCTAAATCTAAGTTTTTATTTTTGTCTTGCTGATTTAATACCTCAGTCTCTGTGATAACTGATGGTATTTGAGAACTGTTCTCATTTCAGCTAGCTAAATTGTAAGTTTTTTCCACTCTTGGAGTCCCACAAATCCTTTAGTATCAAGTTTCCAAGAGCAGATTCAAACAACTAGTTTTCTAATCTGTTTCTCCCTTAACTGACATGTTGCCATGTCTTCACACTCTTCATTTCCCTACTCCAATTCCTACCTTCAAACTCCCAGTAGCTTTTACTATTTCCCTCATCCTTTACTCCATTTTACTTGCTCCCATAGGGCTATCGCTAAGCTCATGCTCCAGCCTCTCCCAATTCCAGGATATTTTCCCTGCATTGAAAACAAAATAATGAAAGGAATGTATACTTCCTAAATGTATAGCAGTTCAACACTTCAGTATTTCAGTAAGTTGTTGGTAGGAATGTTTACTTCTATTATTTTTTATTTATATTTTAGGCACAAATGAACCGGAATTCATCTAGTAAGTGTTAATTTTTAGCTGTTAAGGTATTCTTGATATTTTTCCTTTCAAATTCACTGTATTTGTCATAAAATTGAATTTTATGGAGAAGAAAAAGTGTCAAATTTCTATTTTTGTGTTCTTATTGTTTAGAAAAAGAATGCTTATTGCTAGCTCTAGTGCCCTAGAATAATAAAAATTGAATTACCATAGACCATGTACAGGCATTCTGTTGCTATCAGGAGAACCTCTGCCCTCCCAGTAGAAACAACAAGTGTACAAGCATTCATTAAATTTCTCCTGGGGAAAACTTGCGCCTTCCTGGAGAAAGATGTTCCTGGTACTTGTACACTTCCCTCAGTCCGGTCCAGAGGGGACTGGAGCAGTCACTGAAGCTCCTGGCCCCTCCCTAGACCAGAGATTCTCTTAGGGAGTTCTCTGTCTGGGGTGTAGACAGGTGGTTTGGTGGCTAATCCAGTCCCCTGCCAGACTGGTCCAAGGGGGAAGTGGAGTAGCTACTCCTTGTTTGACTGGTCTGGGAAGGGACTAGAGCAGCCTCCGCTCCCCATGCCTTCCCCAGACTGGGATCACCTGGTCTGGGGAAGGCATACAGAGCAGAAGATAGAGGGGGCAACTGTAGACTGAACACCTGCAATGCTCATTCTCTTAGAAGGATTGTGGATATTTCTCAGATGCTTCCACTGCTGGAAATCTAATTTGTGTTCAAGGCCAGAATTAACCACTTAGCAGCCATAGTAAAAATCTGTGGGCAAAATTAAATTAACCTATTTACTACTATTTCAAAGCAGTGAATACACTTCACACAAAGAATTTATAACACCTAATTCCTCAACTGTTTCCAAAAGTTTCAGAAAATAGATGGATTTTGTAGGGTCTCCCAACAATCTGCAGTCAGATATAGCTATTTGTGACCAATGATGGAAATCAAGCCTCCACATCAAGCTTTCACTCCTCTCCTCCTGAAAACTTTTGTCTCGTCTACTGTGAGTTCTCACACCTCCTAAAACAGTATTCTTCCTCATTAAAAATCTTACACCCATTTTAAATGTCTGTTTTAAAATCCATGGCAGTGAAGAGTCAAGCTAAGTTCTTTGTAGTGCTCTCTCTCCCAGTCCCCTTCCAGAGGCCTTCCCCTACTTGCTTTGGGTCCGAATTGGACCACTGGGTAGGGGTGGGGTTATCTCAGTCCGTTTAGTGCAGGGTCACTGAAACAGTAACAGGTGTCATTCCCAGTCCTGTCTAAAATATCTGTGCTATTTACTAAAGATATAAAAGGTGATTCATATGCATTTTGAGGAGCTGAACTGAATCTTTACACATACAAGTGACTTTGGTAATCTTAATTGTTCAAAATATATATATATGCATTATGTTTATTTTACAATATATATGCATTATTGTATTTTCCAATACAAATCTCCTCAAATAAACCCAATATACAAAATGCTCAGAAATAAATGTGACATGTTGCATGGTAGAATTAATTTATAGTAGCCCATTCGTATTTTAATGCAGAGTAGAAGTTACTATGAGTTGGTGATTAGCATTTTAATCAGTAGCATTCTAGAGACTAAAAAATTGTTTGTTTTAAACTGTTAGAGTTCATACCTTAATTGTCTTTTCCTGTGAAATGAAGTGACCAGTAGCATTTCTTAAAAGTAGCTGTTTTTCATTTACTCATCCTTCCCATTTCAGCAGTCTTGGGTTAATTTTAATTACAGCTATTATCATTCCAGATTATTTTTATCATGAAGCTGAATGATTTTGTTAATCAGATTTCATAGCTTTTATTTGTCATAATAGTGTATTTTTTGCTTAGGTGAAGAATTAACAAAATCAAAGCTTTCTGCTCCATCTAATGAGTAAGTGCCATATTTAAAATTTAGGTTTTACATTAAATGTCATTTCAGCAGAGTTTGGTTTTGTTTTTCCGTAGAATTCTTAAATCTATCATTTGACTTGGATATCCGGTTTAGGCTGGATATCTAATGACTCCTAGGATTTAAGGAATAATTTCAGAATTTTTTATAAAAATTGGGGATTTTCTACTTTCTTTAACTCTTTCTTGGTCTGGTCTTTTTTCTACCTCCTTTTCTTCATCTTACCTGCTTCAATTGATATTTATAGATAAAATAATATTAAATAGGTGTATAATAAAGTCATTTACATTAAAATGTTACTGTAACTTAAATACAGTGAAAATTGGTGAGCCCAAAGTGTGAGCTGGTCTACACAGATTTGTACAGGAACATTACTAAATAATGAATGTGTTCTGTTGCAAGTCAGAACACAACATTTGTAATGAAATGAATATCCATCCCTGAACTTGCGTTGATATAACAAAAAGGATGAATTAATTACAGGAAGTTGTTTTGGTGTGTATTAATATGGAAAACAGGGGGTTTTTTAACCTATATTTATCCAACAGTATTTTCCTTGAAAAAGTATTCATGTGTCTGAATGTCTTAATCCCCACTACAACTGCACTGTATAAGTGACTGGTAACTTGATTGTTTCAAATATATATGCATTATGTTTATTTTCCAAAATGAATTATTGCAATAGAAAGGGGACCACTGACCTCCTAGCATGGGATCCAGTCTTTGGCAGTTCTCTTGAATCATCGTCTTCAGCTTCATTGACAACTTCATCCTCATCAGGTAAAACGTCTCATAATAAAAATTATAGATTCTAAGTGTGTGTTAGAAACACTCTAGGATTTTCTTGGTTTGTTTTATTTTTTTAACATTGGAAGGGTTTTACTTTTATTGGAGATACATTTGTAAAATCATACCTCCTTCATAGAGTGGTGTAAGTTGTATACATGAGTAAAAATATGTTAGCTGATTGTTTATTTAAAGGGATGGGGGGTTGTTCTTACTGCACTGAGTAGATTAAACTGGAGCAGAATCTGCTGTTTGTACACTATCTAAACAAGTTGCACACTACTCTTCCTTCCCTCCCCTCTTAACCCTCCCCGCCTCCCCCATGTATTTCTTAATCCACCTACTGCTACTGTATTCTGTAAATGTTGCTTTTTTTCCTGGGCTATTGTCTTTGTGATATGGGAGGGGCTTTTTCTCCCCTATGGGAAAGAGAAAGAGGAAAGGATATTTCTTTTAGGTCAGTATTCCTGTTACAGAACGATTAAAGGTGACTCCAGATTTTTTTTAATGCTTGTGCCTTCTGACTTTCTTCTCCACTGAATCTTGCACATGAAAGAACATAAGGGAGCATGCTTAATTAGGGGCATTTTGCTTTAATTGGTTTTAATACTCAGCCATGTCACTAGCAGCAATACAGTGTTACCACAGACTATTTAGCTGCAGGCACTCTTTTTAAAATGAAACCTATTCTCTTACCCTCCTCCTTCATAAACATGTTTTGATTTTAAAATAATAGAGTATTTTCCCCTATTTTCAAGTTCCTAATGGAAGAACCCAATGAAAAACAGTGAAAAATCATTTCAGGAAGTACATGATTGGATTCTCTATCTCCCTACATGTGACTTTGTCAGGATAAGCTTTGGATCTTTAATGTTATTATAATGTGAATGGTTTAATACAGAGTTTGGCAACCTTTTTGCCAACATAGACCACTGCTTACAGCCCTGCCCCTGCCATGAGCCACAGCCCTGCACCCCCTGGCAAGTAGCAGATGCTGCAACAAGAATAGATAGAAAAAGGCAGGTGCAAGGACCCTCACGATTCCTCCCCTGCTGGAGCTGCTGTGACCAGAGCGTGCTGTCATGGGCTGGATCCAGTTTATTCATGGATTGTAGTTTACGAACCCCTGATATGATAGATTGTCAATTACACATTTATTGCATTCTTTGTTAATGTAATAATGTGATTTTTTTTTTAGATAAATTTTTGCTTGTAATTGTTAACAGATTAGGTTTGTTAACAGGAATGTAGACATCCCAATGATACCCTAATGTGCTTCACTGGGTCTTTACAATACAGGTCTGATGAAAGAGAAATTATGAACTATTGTTTTTACAGTTTTAAAACACTTTACAGCCAAGAGCTAAGAGAGCTGCTTAATGGAACTAAACATTTTTTTTGAAAATACAGTCATTTCTGTTCAGAGTTTACAAAAAGCTCCTTTCTACATTGAACTGCTAATCTTCTTAGGGAATATTTTGACCTAATCAATTCGTTTCATGGAATGCTAAGAAATGACGAGGCTAAGCAAGCATTTCAAAATCTTATCTCTACATTTTTCTGTAAATGGTTAACTACATTTTAATTATGGAGTGAGAGTATTTATATTGCAACAAATTAATGAGGTACTTAACTGTAATAGGTAATGGTTTAAACATTATCAAATATGAATAAAAAGGTAACTTAAAAGTTTATTTTTTAAGAATTTTTATTCATTTAGAAGCAGACAATACAAAATTTGGATAGCAAAGTTTTATGTGATTTCCAGAAACTTAGGTTGACTGTCTGTTGTAGGTAGTTTGCTCAAGATGCTCATTTTCAGAAGGTATTTCAGAAGCAACCCTGTTGAATGCAAATTTATTTGTAATTCATATGTGATCTCTTGATATTTTCTTTAGCACAATCTGTTCCTCATATAAAAATAAATAAAAGCTTTCTTCCCCTTGTATCCCATCTAAAGACTATAATACAGCAAATACTGCCAGTAACTTGGGTAAAAATAGTAACTACTTATTCAATAAGAAAAATACTTTATAACACGTAAGAAAAAGAAGTTCCTAAGGAGCTGATCCAGGCCCTTTGAAGTACATGAGAGAACTCACATTGACTATTTGTAGGCTTTGTATTAAGCCCTGAAAAATATTATTTTACTCTATTTGCTATAATAGTGGTGGCTTAGACTTCTGCAAAATAAGTACTTGTCAGTCAGTCTTTTAGAAATGAATTGCTATCCATTGCTTGAGTGTATGTCTGCAGAGCACAATGCAGTGCTGTGTCAAAGATATTCAGGATAACACTAAGCAAGCTCGTTTGGTTATTGGAAGCATTATAGCTACATTAGCATTGCACTTTGCCCAAGCTTCTTAGTAGTGTTCATTAATTCAAGCAGAGCCATATGCTGACACAGCCTTACTGCTGCTAGTACTCAAACTAGCATGTTTAGAGCTATTCCAGGTATGTCTGCGTAGCATTGCATTGTATTATGTAAATAGATATACCCCATATTTCACTGAAGGTTACTGATATATATTGCTTTGAGAGTATGCATCACTTTTGAAAGAACATCTGTAGTTAGGCACTGTAGATAGGATTTTTCAAAAACACTCAGCTTTGATATGACTCTACTTCCTTCAAATCAGCATGAATTTTAGTTTAATTTCAATACAAGCTGAGTTAAGCCAATGTTAAAAGCTTTTAAAAATTTCACCCCCAAAATTTCTACTAAAAAAGTTATCTATATAGATTATAGGCTTGGCAAGATTCATTTTTTATTTGTAAATGTTTATAAGAGTCAATTTCGCCTCATACTCTCAGACCAACAAAAAACTATTTCCATCGTTAATAATCAAAACAGGGGATGTAAGAAAAATTATGGCTGATGGAGTACGTGATGACGGGGGGAGCAGTCCTACAGAACTACTGACTGTATCTTGGACTGCAACTCCCAGAAAACCCAGGGTACTGGAAACAAAGGAAGAGCAAGTAACACAGTGGATGAGGGAGCTATGGCCGACTGAAGTCAAGGCTGATGGCAGCTCTGCTGCTTAGCTAATGGTAGTCCTACAGAAGTTACATTTGTCACAGTGGGTGGTTAAACTGCCTGATCTTGAAAATTTAAATCAATAAAAATCTAAATAAATGTTTAAAAATAAACATGGATAATTGTCACGGTTATTTTTTTTTTAAATCTAATTCTCCTAAGCCTAATTATGAATATTCTGTGTGTACATGCAAGCACTCATGCACACATACATACGTCCATAGAATGTTGATTGCTTATTTTTCTTATCATTTGAGAGAGGCAGAGAGACATCTCAAGGTCTAGAAGGTCACCATATGGTGACTCTTTTCCTTTTTATCAAAGCTTAAAACATTTCTTTTGGGCAGTATTTTTCAGTTCAGTGTTAATTTAATTGAATGTGACTTAACTGCTAAAGCCTTTGAGCTAATGGTAATCAAAGCAGTTTAGAAGTGATCTTTGGTTATCCAGCAAATAACTTTACTGTATTGGAACTTGAAATTAACATAGCTATCTTAAGAAATGACAGAAATTATTTTGTCTAGTTATTTGTATTGTAAAACTGCTTCTTTTCTGTACTTCTTTCTCTTTTCTATTTCTTCCAAAGTTTATTTTAAAAGTCTGTAGTTTGCGTGTGTGCGTGTGTGTGTGTGTAAAAACAATGTGTAAAGTATTTATCAGGAAAAATAAGACTTGTTAAGTCTGTGTGTATATGTATATGTGTATAACCATGATGAATAAACAACTTTCCTGGGAGCACTATAAACTCTACAGAATCTAAGATTTCATCTTAAAAGATGTCCCTTGTTATGGCTGCAATGAGAAATTGCCTAATATGAACTGAAGCCAGGTTTGCACCACAGATGCTTTACCACCATTCTCTCAAATATGTGCCATGGGTCCCTACATCCTACTTCCTGTACTGGAAGCAGGGTAGCCACATTCATGCTAATTAGCATCAATTCTGAGCTAGGCTGATTAGCCCTTCTGTAATGTTGCATGAATGTGGCTACACTGTTTGGTTCAGGGTATAATGTATGCTAAGCTAACCTCAAACAATCAGTGAAGATGCCCCAGCAGTCTAGGGAGAAATGTCATCATGTGTATTTGTTTCTGAGTGGGAAGTTTGGTGTCTGATGAGCTTTCTAAGCTATATGTCCAAGTGGGTAAGGATGACGTTAAGGATATGGAAGTTGTTATATGGAAGGATAAGGCAGGGGAAGTTCTTGATGAGGTAAGTTGATCAGAGGTAGGGTGAGAAATTTTGGAATGACATGAGAGAAGAAATTGCAAACAGCAAATATAGTGGAAGAAGTAATGAATTTGATGTAGGAAATGAGAGAGATATTAAGGAGCTGAATGAATGAAGAAGGAAAAAAAACAAATAAAATACCAAAGACCATTCAGTAGATGGTGATTGATTAGAGGAAAGAAGAAAATAAGATCTAAAGCAACTGACAAAAACGGTATTACAAGGAGAAAGGTAGTGAACTACATCTTAAAAAAATATAATAAAAAATGACAAGGTTAACATAACCAGGCAGAAGGCAAGACAGGGTGGTACCATAGGGTGCCTATACAGGCAGTCCTCGACTTAACAACGTTTCGCACTTACAGCGTTTATAACTTGACACCCTGTTTCAACTTTTTGACATCAGTTTTGACTTTACAATGCTTGATCTGATGCCATGCCATGCCAGCGAAGAAGTTCGCTGCACGCTCATCTCCCTGGAGAACATCTGTCCAAACTGCCTTGGACACTTTCTTTAAGAAAGTAGACAAGACCCCAGAAAAACCTGCACCCAAGACTCCTGAGAAGATTCCAGCCAAGAGCCCTTCAAAAAATCCAAGCAAGAGCCTTTCAAAAAGTCCAGCAAGGTCACCTCAAAGAAGTCCTTCCAAAACAATATGATTGCTATTTACAATATAAATGCATTAATGTAGCTATAGTATGCATCTATAATTGACTGAGTACAAGATTCTGGGGTATTTTTGGTAAAAATAGGATATCGGGCCTTGGTTCAGGAAACAATCCCCCATTTATAACATTGTTTCTCATGAGAAAATTGGTTCTGAGTTGCAATGTTTTGACTTAAGATGTGGTTTTCAGGAACCAGGTGTGTCGTAAATCCGAGGACTGCCTGTACATGCAAATCGAAATTGCTCCAATGCGCTGTAGTTACAGTGCATCAGAGCAGACTCGGCTGGAGCGTGGTAATCACCACGCTGAAAAGTGGCGGCAGAGGGGGCACTTTAACTAAAGCTCTCAGAGCTGCTCTAATTAAATCGCCTCCCCCAACACCTGGACCACATGTATAAATGCCCTTAGAGATTAACTCATTCAGAGAGGCATAAGCTTTCATAGGTGACAGCCTACTTTGTCAGGTGCTGTGATCGGACTTGCAGAGAGCTGGGGTACTAAAAAAAAAAAAAATTTAAATACAAAATGTAGAGCAAGTGGGAGGAGGGGGGCACTAGTGAGCAAGGTGAAGGTGAGTTGAAAAGATTAAAAGAGATTTTTTTAAAAGCAGTCAGGAATTTCCACTGAATAACATAAAGGGTATAAAAGCTAGTCCAGGCATTATAATTAAATGAAGCACTCAAACATTATGGAATTCTTTATTTCTTACATTGCAGGTGATGCATCTTTGGAGGTGTAGTAGAGCAGTTATTTCTCACGTGGGGAGACTTGTATTTGCATTTTTATATAATTTCATCATGCTCCTAGCTTTCAATTTTTCCCTTTTCCTTCAGCTACATTAAAAGAACAAAATAGGAACTCCTACTCATCATCATCATCTACCATTGATTTGCCTGGGTGTAGAATATCTGAATCTTTTCTTGGAAACCAGAAAAATTCTGGGTCTAGAAGCCCATCATCACCAGACTTTACCACTAGCATGCTATGCAAATTTGATGTGATCACAGCACCATCAGGGAGCACAGATAATATGTCTCTTGTTTCATGGTCTCAGAGTCAGTGGATTCCTTTTACTGATGAACTTTTTCATATTAAGCATACAAGTGCAGGCCAGAAGAAGTCTCAGAGATTGCATTTTAAACCTGACAGTATCTGCATTGCTTCTCCTTCTTTGCTTGGGAATTCTTCCAACAGCTGTGCCTCTGAGGATCAAAGTGACCTTTACAATAATTTTACATGCCATGAAAAATTATTCATTGAAGAAACTGGCAATATTGCTGAAATTTCTTCTACGTCATCAGTACCACTGGACTATAGTTTAGTCCCTGCTTGTGTTCATATATATAAGGGTATGGCTAGCATGCATTGTGTATTGCTGTTTCCTAATAACTGACTCCAGAAAGCAGACTCTAAGTTGCCTTCTCTTCCTCATTATTGCTCACCTGACATAAAATTAATTCATCTTCTCATCTAAAATATACTAAATCTTATGATCATTTTAGTTCTGCATCTCCCAAATTAGTCAGGATATATAAATAAGTATTCAGCCCTGGTGGAGTTGATTTTTCTTGATCGTGTATAACTTTGCTTTTTAAAAAGCACTGAATAAAATATTTTGTGGGGATGTCAGAAGCAGTAAGCAATCACATTTCAGGAAAAAGAAAATTTCAGAATTGTAAAAATTGTGTTTTAAATGTCTTTTGTATAACTATTTTAGGACAAAAAGCTTAAAATCTATATTCATCTTTTTGATACTTAATACAGCTAATTTTGAAGGGGGGCTGTGACACAAGCTAATACTTGCTAAAAAGGTTCCATCTTTTCATTGGGTACCTGTGACTGCAGCAATCTCTGAGCCTGATGTTATGCTTCTAGTAAGCATGACAGTGAATTTAAAGGACTGATGGGTAACTTTAGTCTCTCCTTTGTTTACTTTTGGCATTGGTGTTACTAATTTAGATGGGATTATCAAATATGTACGTCATTGACTCTTCTTTCATCCCAAGACAGTGATAAACCTGCCACTGACTTGAAAAAGGCTAACTGCTTTTGAAAACCCTACTTTGAATATAACTTTTGAGTGACACTTTTTCTGCTTCAAGCATGTCTTAAAAGGCTTTTGGGGGAGAGAATGGGATACACTGCAGTGCCTTTCCATCATGTAATTGTGCATAAAGGCTTTTTTGTTTTGGTTTTTAAGCACAATTTGGATCCAGCATATACTCACTGGATGACTTCTAATAGCTATTCTCAACTGCAATTATACTCAGAAAAAAGTGGCTTGTAAAAATAGCATCTTCTTATTGAGGCTTTGTGCCACCCTGGCACATATTCAAAATTCTAGGTGCTCATTTTGGAGGGTTGTTTTGTTTTGTTTTTACTGGTAGTTCTGCTGAGTTGCATGTTTTCTTGCACAGCAATAGAATTATTTACTGAAGTCTAATAATTTATTTTCACTGTGCAAAACCCACTGAAATCAGTGGGGTTTTCAGATGGTCTAATCTGTAGATAATAGAACTGTAGAGCTGGCATCATGGGCTAAAAATGGCCTACGGTCTTATTACAGGGGAGAGATGCAAGAAGTAGAAGGCAGGCTTCTACAGGGATGGAGGCTATATCTTTTTATCCTCAAAACTGAGCATATTTTACTTAGAATGATTCAGGAACAATAAGCATAGAAGCCTCATAATGCTGTTTTAGAATCACTTTTCAGAGTACCATGGAACTACACTTTAAGGCCTTGGTATTTTTTTTATTAATTATGAATTCCTGCAAAATATCATTTGACATTTACTAGAAACTTAACTCTTATGATTCCATTCAAATGAAATTACATTTATTTTCAGTGCATCAATTGTAATTTGCTTCAAATTATTTTCTTACAGCAAGACCAACAACTCCTCTTTCTGTAGGAACCATCGTACCACCTCCAAGGCCTGCTTCCAGACCAAAGCTGGCTACAGGGAAACTTAGTGGAATTAATGAAATAGTATGTATTGACTTTTAGTTTTTTGTTTAATTATATAATTTATTTCTCAAAATGTCAGTCAACTGGAACTATATCACTTATAGGTTTCCCTTGCTTTATGCAGTGCTCTATGTGCGAATTCACTCTTATGTGATGAGCTTTTTTATACCAAAAATTCATTATATGTGAGGTAAATTCACTCTTATGCAATTGGTGTGGTGGAAGCCTGCAGTCAGCTGCTTTGTGCAGTGCATTGTGGGAGGGACGTGCACCAAAATATAGTCCCCTGTGTGGATCTGTGCTCCTTGCTCATTGTCTGCAACACGTGTTTCTGTAGTTGCCACCCCCATTATAGCTTCTAAGCGTCCTGCTAGCTTATCCCCTACTCCTCTCTGCTGTTGAGTACCAAAATTGTCTTGTAAAAGTGATAGATATGGGTCTGGGGTGAGTACAGTTGAGGTCTTGAAACGTATCCCTATTTGTTATGTTGTAAAGTGGGTTCCCTTTATGCGAATTCAAATTATATGCCATTTTCCAGGACCACATGTACAGCATAAAGCAAGGGTAACCTGTACTTACCCTATTATAGTTAAGTTAGTCTTGGTGTGAAAGGGAAGCTGTCTTATGATGTCAGAGTGTAGGAGATATCAAATGGATAGTTGCTGGTTCTGTCCTCGAGACAGACAGAGGTTAGAGTAGATTTGTATCACTGCTTTGTCCTTGTGTCGTATGGAAAAAGAAACAGAAAGATGAATTGCCCTTACACATTGTCCAACATCATGCTTCTACTCTTCAGCTGTTTTTTTTATGGCTCCCATCTATAAATAAGTCATGAGACAAATACCATATTTATTCAAATACAAGACAAGATTTTGTTCCCCTATATTTGCATACAAGGAAACCTCATTAACTACATTGCTTATCATTAAACTGCTGCCAAAAGCAGGATGTGCTCAGTGATGGAAACCAACTATAAAGCTGATTAAATGCAGCCAACACTGAGCATAACTGTAAAACACACAGACCATATGGGGCAAACAATGATGGGAACCTACCACAAAGATGAGCTGCATTTACCTATCTGAATAAGATATATGGTAATGCCTATTGAGAACAGTCTCCTTCAGCATTCTTTTTAGTCATGGTGAGCCACTACATTACTTACATTTTTACTTCCTCTTCACTCCCACAGCTAAGCTGCGCCTTTCTTTCCCATTTTAAATGATTCTTGTTTCTTCACCAGCCTTAAATATCTGACAAACATCACCAAACAGGACCCCAAACATTTCACCCAGAATCCTCTTGTCCCCTCTCTCAGCCAGTCTAATATGTCTAGTGTGTTCCCACCCTCCATGAGGTGGAGCTGGACCAGGTTGTCCTGAGTCTCAACTGCATATCAATTTTTTGAGGATTCCAAGGTTCATGATGAACGCCTGGTTCCACTCGTGAGTGAGGGTTAATTAGCACATGAATTCTTTGTAGGCGGGGTTCTAGAGAGTGCACATATTGAGCAGTGCTGAGCTGTGGGGTCACCATGGCTGGAAATGCTGTTGACTCCGCTGGGGCCTAGCCCAGTGAACTACATAGTAAATGTATGAGTCTTGGCTTTGAACTAATATCATGCATGGTATATATACATGGGTACAAAAGTGCTGCTTAAAAGTGTGTATATGGCGTACTTGTGCTAAAACTTACAGCAGCTTCAAACAAAGGTAAAATGCATCAGTTTTCAATTAACTAAGTCTGTGGGTACTATATGCAAAATGCTACAGGTATGTTTATTTCAAAGTCACTGTTTTCATATTTGACCCCCACTTCAATGTGCTTCAGGAGAGCATGGTCTGACAGTAAGAAGAGGGGAAGGGGCCAAAGGAGGAAGAAGTTGGGGGGTATTTTTCCCCATGCTGATTGTGGCATAAACCCTTACTGTATATTTGAGTAAACATGGTATTTAGTAATACAATTTTTTATGTAATCTGAATAGAGATTTTGGAAAATTCAGAGATGCTCTTTGTTAGGTACTTCTCAGGTTAGGTCAAAAGAGTCCAGAGTTTTTTATCACTGAATGGAGAAACTGATACAGACATTTAAACAAGTTTTTTCTCCCTTGTTTGTATTACTAATAATGTAGCTGAGTATTATTGAGATTTAATCCAATCCTTCCTTATTCAGCAGTCTTGAGTATATAACCACCCTTACATAGCATCATTTAGTTTGCATCAGGGGTGCAAGGCAGGATACAAGGAATGTTGTACTATCTTAAATTCAGTTTTCCTTAGTTCACTTCAGCATCTTCATATAAAGCAACAAATGACTTTCTGAATGTGACCAACCTTCTGTTTCCTTTCTTTGTGGCCCTTAAAAGTAGCCAATCCTGGAAAGTATTCCTGTGCACAGGAACATTGGCTCAGATGGGAGAATCAAAGTTGGACTTCTGTGACACGTAGCTCAGCCTCATACAGGATTACGTCAGGCTGTACCGTAACAAAGCAAAACCTCATGCGGACACATTAAAGATAGTATTAAGGAAAAATCTTGAATCATAAATCCTATTACACTGTGGAATTTCTTCCCAGGCAAAATGGTTAAAATTGTTTTTATAGAAAATCAAGGTGCATGAAGCACTAGATATAAATATGCAGAAAGGAATAATGATGCATTAGGTAGGGAATGAGTCAGATGAAGAGATCTTTTCTAAATTTGTTGTTTGTCCATTTAGTATCCCATACAGCTCTGTAATGATATTGTTATACTTAATGTTAAGCCTAGGCCATTCAGTCCACCATTGACTTCTAACTCCAGTCCACCACCTACCGCCCCTTTGGCACGTGCCGAGAGTGTGTCCTCAATATCTTCGTCTGCTTCACTAAGCGCGGCAAATACACCCACAGTTGGTAAGTAACTTATTTTAGTTAAAGTGATGTCCTCACAGCCCTTAATATTTGTAACATCTTTCTTTTAGAAAAAATATAAACATCAATGTATCAGAGCTTAAATCAACCAGTCTATTATGAAACAACCTGATTATTCCATATTAAGTTCATTTCAGTTTTCTTGTAGCCTTCCCTGAATGATCTCGTCCACTGATCAGATCCCCTGTCAGAACTGTTGACCTTAGTAGACCCTTAACAATGTAACAGATCCATCTGTGAACATTTTTAAAATTAAAATGCATGCTTGGTATGTCCATGTGTATTTATAACTCTACTTGATACTAAAATAGCTTTTGATTCAGATGAGTTGGTCAAATGTAATTTTTTTAATCATACGAAGAAACTGAGTTAAATAAGTTTTTTTTTTCCTTTAGCTACAGAATTATTTTAATGAAAATTGCTTTTAAGTGATTTATAATGATTTAAATATTCTGCTGGCTCATTTG